TCCGGCGACTAGCTTCTTCTCCGACGTGAGTATGGCGTTCTAAATTCAGGACGACGGGCGGCGGTATGGTCGGAGCTCCGGCATGCGAGAAGCATCGACGTCGATATGGTGCAGTGGCGAGGTGGTGGACGCGAAGTGAAGCTCCGGCAATTGTCCATGGCGTAAGTCTGGTACGTGTTCCTCCAATGCGTGGAAATGAAGGAGATGATGATTGAATTCTGGAAATGACCGCTTTGCCCCTCATTTAAATAGATTTTGGACCAGCCCATTTGTTTGTGCACTTGGGCCTAATTAAAGCACTCACTCAATAAAAATAAGGCTGCCATTTAGTTTCCTGCGGGCTGTTTATTGGGCCTGTTCCAATGCATGGCTCGCACTACTTTTATGTCCGTGTCACGCCGTTTTCGACTCTAAAATTATATCGACCCCATTTCCTGTCAAAACTTAAATAAAACAACTCATCATAGCTTAATAAAATTAATTAACTACATAATTAATTATATAATAATTAATTACATAATAACTAATTATATATTGAACTACGACAAAATGGACACCAAAAATCACTATAAAATGCACGTAAATATGACGTATGTCACCCCGCGTTTAACATGGATACGAGTCATCCATTAATTAGGGGGCCCATGTTGCCGTTTAATACATTGAACGCCACTTTTTGTTGTTTTTTATTTTATTTTTTTTGGTTTTAGTTAATTATTTTGGTTATTTTTTTCTTTTTATATATTTAATTCAATTTTATATATAAATCCAAATTTTATCTATATTACACTTGTTAACATGTATCAGTAATTTACATTTTATACCTCCCATTTTTTTATGCCTATAAAATACACCCCACACTTCAGTTTTATAATTTTCTTGTACCATTTTTTTTTTGTTTTTTCTGTTCTACTATTTTTCATTTTTAGTTTTAATTTATGTTTTTTTATAATCTAATAATATTTAGTGTATTTTCATCATTTAACATTAAGTATTCTAATTAAAAAACTATATTTATTTTATTAAGAATAGAATATAAAAATAATATTGAATAAGTGGGTAATGGGTCCCATATGTTTGTATTTAAATGAATGAATGAATGTGGGTGTGTGTTTAAATGAAGAGATGTTTAGTGGAAAGATGAGGTGGAGATGATGTTGATGAAAGAGAGTGTAAATTGGGATTGAATGAATGTTAAGGGATGTGGATGCTCTTAGTAAAAACTAAGAGCATCTCTAATGCATTCTTTTGAAAGGGTAAAAAGTTATCCACCTAATCTAGATAGAAAGTGTTTGAATAATTTATCCTCCAATACATTAGATTATGGGTCCTTTCATGCTTATGTGTAAAAAATTAATGTTAACATTGTCAAGCTCACTTCCTAATTTCTCACATTCTTTCTAACATGATGACTCATCATTTTGATAATTATTTAACACAAATTTTGAGCTTTTCATAAACTTGGAAAAATCTCACCCTTACATTTATCCAATAAAATATTTGAGAATTTATTTGAATACAGTATAATTATTTGATGAGTTACAACTAAAATTTAAAAAATTTATCAATAATAAGGTCCTGAAAAGTGAAATATTATGTTCATGATATTTGTTTGTTGAGTTATTGCAATTTTAATATTTTGTTGTTTTATTTTGAACCAATTAAAAAATATTTATTGTGTGGTTATACATATTGTAACTGAGAAATTATTGAATAAATAATAATTTTATAAATTTGATGATATAAATAAAAATTAACTGAATCAACAAAAAATAACATCATGCATATAATTATTGGAATTTGTGGTTTTTTTCTAATATACTCTTTGATTTTATTAATAATTGAATAAATCCACCTATACAAATTGTATGGTTGTTGAATGGATGCATTGGAGGCAACAATTCAAATGAAAGTCCTATTCTTTTAACATTCAGTTCATGTATATTAAACATTAATCCATTGATTGACATGTGTTCAAATTTAATTAATGTTGAAAGTTGAGCATTAGAGATGCTTATGGCCTGATCCACCTAACAAATTAATTTGGATTCAATTCTAGCTGAAGAAAGAAAAACCAGAACGAACATAATCCCAAGAAAAAAAAAAAAAAAACTTTTTCTTTAACATAATCACGCGATTTCAAATAAAAATCACCAATGAGGTCGATCCTCATCCAATAGTAAGTCGACCCACATCGGAGTTGTGCTCCTATCCACCAAATCATATACATAGACGAGCCTGCCTGCCCTCTTTGTTGGCATAATATATGTAATTCGGCTTGCTTCCTTCCTACCCCAGAAGACCAACGGCACGGCAGAACCCAATACCGGACGAGCCTACGAAAACCATCTTTTGTGAACCATTTGGAATAAAATAGATTATACGTGCTGTAATTTTTTATGCACCATCTTTTGTGCAATCCTACTTTTCTATAGATAAATTATTTCAAAGTGTTTGTATGAATATTTAGAAAGTAGTGTTAAAAATATTTTCATAGTTATTTAATTGAATTTATTAAATTGTCTTATTTTTTAATATTCTCTATACAAGTGTTTGTAGGAATATTTAGAAAGTAGTGTTAAAATACTTTCATAGTTATTGAATTGAATTTATTAAAATATCTTTTTTTTAATATTATAGGTTCTTGCGGATATTTTTTAAATATTTTATAACTAATTTCACTATTATTAGATTTTTATTTGTATCATGATTTAAAGGTATAAACCGAAAAAGTTTTAGACTGACACTATTATAAATTAAAAAAACACGTATAACTAGATTAATTTTTAAATTATAAAATTATGAAAATTAAATAAATAATTAAAATTAAGATATTGAAGAATTATTTCAAACATTCCATCATTACACATAGCAACTAAAAATGAAAAAATAATATTTTGTAAAAATATAATGGATGACCATATTTGATCTCAGTGTACACTCTGTAGGAGACATCGATTTTAATCATCTCCTCAATTTCAACAGCATTTTCACTTTCAAAGTTTCAACAGCATCAACCTTGACTTCTGCAGCGACATCGATTTTAACCATCTCCTAACATCACTTTCAGTTTCAAAGTTTCAACAGAATAAATTTGGCTTTGCTTAATAAATTTCATACATAAGTGATATAAATTTCATACATAAGTGATATTGAGACTTGTACATGTAAAATCTGGTTTTGTTTAATAAATTTCATACAGATTACTGTACCAAAATTATTTATAGAATAAGAAGTATGAAACTGAAATTATATATAATCGGACCAGTTTTTTTGCAAACCGAGCACAAAAACTCAAAACCGAACCCTTAAAGAAAGTAGAATTGAGAGAGAAGAGAGATTGTTAACACACTAGGATGAAAAAAATAGATTGGAACGGGGTATTTATAAGTGTTTTTTTATTTTATTTTTTTATTTTTATTAATATTATGAGGGAAACCCGTCTGAGTCCGGATCAACCTGACCGGTTGGATAAAGGATGGCCGTTGGATCTAACGGTGAAATGAACCAACGACACCTTTCAAAAACCTGACCGTTGTGCGACCCAGTCGGGGCATGTTCGACCCGACCCGCTAACTATTTAAAAATAATAATAATAAAATTAAAATTGATTGTTGATCAAATTAATTCGACAACTCAGATTTAATCTGGGCATTGGGTCTCCAACGGTCGACCCGACCCGGTCCAGAAAAAAAAAAAAACGGGCAGGTAAAGAAAAAAAAAAGATAAGACATGGAATCGGCCTGTTTGTAGCACGGGTCCAGTTCAATGACCCGTACATACAGGCTGGTTCCGGTCCCAATCTGGTCATGGCTCATGTCTGTTAACAACAAAACAGGAATACACGATCAATCAAATCAATAAAAAAATACAAAAATAAAACAAGATAGACATGGATTAAAATGAGGTCTAAACATAGTTTGCTTGTGGATTCCAAATTTACACTAAGATTTCAACAACAAAACAATATCATACAATTCTATTAAAAAAAATAAAAAAATCGAACACTAACATGGATTGAAATCCAAATAAAACCAAAACATACTATACTATAATAATTAATAAGGGATACTGATCGACACTTTTGCTATGGAGCCATCCGATGGCTCAGCTTATAGAGTCATCCATAGTTATTGACAAATGGTATATTAACATGTGTCCTGCAATAAATACACATTGGACAGGTGTCAATATATTAAGTAATGGATGGCTCCATAAGAAAACCATCCGATGGCTCCATAAAATTCTTTTACTGATCGATATTATGATCTAAATGTGAATCTCTACTCAAACAAACCGATAAAAAGAAAATCAAACATTATGCAATGGATTGAAATCCAAACGGAATCCAAACATACTATGATATGTGGAATCTACATTTCAGCTTCCGATTGGTTCAATTGGCTACCTTGAGTTTGGGTATTTTGGAGGATGTTTGGATACAAAAATTCTCAAAAGCCTTTTAATATTTTTAATTTAATCATTTTTAACTCAATTTTAACTTAATTCAACTATCATTAAATAATTTGAATTAATTATTTTTATACACCACATCAACTTTAATTCATTACTTTAATTCACTATTTATCCATTCACATAATTTTAACTAACTATCATTTCAAATCATTTATTCTCATTTTACATTAAATCCACTTTAATTATTTTATTTTAAATATTATTTTAATATACCCGCTAACAACTAATCATACCATATTTTTTAAAATTAACTAAACAAAATAAGAAAATCTACACAAAACTAAAAATTCCAAGTATCCCCAAATGTGTAATTGTACATCGCAGCTTGCGAATGTAAAAAAAATAGTGATAATTAAGTAATCTTTACATAATTTATGTAAAAAAATTAGTGATAATTAAATAATTTTTACACTTTTTCTAACTATATTCTATATTATATACGCTACTTATTATTATAAAGTTAAAAAAAAACAGCAAGTAGAAGACGACGACACAAGAAAACAGCAACGAACAGTGATCTGAAAATGGGATATAACGTATATTCCGCCCGTGTTCAACACTAGGGTTTCTTCTTGTTCATTTTACCCCTTTTTTAATTCAATCAATTTTCAGTCATTTAAAATTATTGGAAATATGAGCAAATTCTGTATTCTAGGTTGTTGTATGAGCCACCAAAAACCTCAAATTTTGGAGCCCTTTTCACCTAGATGTGGATATCTCTAATTTTGGTTGTCGTATAATTGTGTGAAGCTATGGTCATGAACTGAAAAGATGTATGCCTTTGTTGTCTTTTTGTTCTGCCCATATTTATTTATCTGATAAGGAAATTTCAGTTTCAATGAAGTAAGATTGATGTCTTGTGGAAGGTTTGGTAATGTGTGGTGAACCCTGTTTCTTCATCTTCTTCATCCTGTATTGTTGTTGTGCTTTTTTCTTTCGTATTGCTGCGTTTTTCTGTTAGTCTATTTTGCTTTAGGATATGGAGTTCTTCAACTGGCATGTTCAGTCAGTTTGTTGTATGTTTGTCCCTGCCGACGAAATCACGGGGCAGAACAAGAGGGAAACAAATGGGAGAAAATTGACTGTTGTGTCCATGGATGTTGCACTTACCTTATCACTTGATATCCTTTTCTTTCTCCTTATTTTTGCAAGTCTGGAGAGTGTCGATTTGGGATTTGCAAATTGGTTTTCATTAGGTTCTGATTAGTTCTTTCTGGCTCCACTTGAAACTTTGTTAGTTTAGTGGTTTACGCTTACACTTTCCTCGTGTTAATTCTCTTTTTTTGTGATGACGAACCAATGTGTGAAATGTTCAATTAAGTTTTGAATTATCGAGTTTTACTGAAACCGGATGGAATGCAAGATGAAGATATGTGAGTTGAATGAAAAGTTCGTGTTTGAGTGAGTTTGACGCAAGATGGTTACTTATTCTTATTCTATGCCTATGTGTTTCAGAAGTTTCATATAACTATCAATCAAGGCATCTATATTGTGTGCCAAATGTGGGTCCTATCATGTCGATGGTATGAACTATTTTCTGTATCACAACGTGTGCTTCACTCATCATTTTTGCGTGCCTCTTCCATTCCACGAGCCGGTGAGAGGCACTTTGATCAACCAAATTAGAAAATGCATTGCCATGAAATGAGACAAAGCAACAAACAATTGTTGGATATTCCTTCGTTTTCTATTATTCTGCCCATAGTTATTTATCCGATAAGGAAATTTGAGTACCAATGAGGAAAGATTTAAAGTCTTCTGGAAGGTTTGCAAATGTGCAGTGAACCCTATTTCTTCATCTTCGTCTTCCTTTGGTGGTTGTTGTTATGCTGTTTTCTTTCACATTGTTGTGTCTTTCTGTTAGTTATTGTGTTTTAGGATATGGAGTTCTTCAAATGGAATGTCCATGCCAACAAAACCATGGGGCTGAACAAGAGGGAAACAAATGAGAGAAAATTGAGTTTCCTGCCCATGGATGCTGGCCTTACCTTACCATTTGATTATCCTTCTTTCTCCCTCTTTTTGCAAGTCGTTTGGGTGTTGCAAATTGGTTTCATTAAGTTCTGATTAGGTCTTTTTGGGTCGAAGCATAGGCATATATCCATTTTAACTTTAGTGGCCACATTTCTTTTCTTGAACCTTTATTAGTTTAGTGGTTTACGGCTTTACGCTTACACTTTCTTCATGTTAATTCTCAGTTTTGTGATGATGAAGTGTGCGGATCAAGCTGTTGTTGGACTGAGTACTGCAAAGGCCAAAGCTAGAGCCAAACTGCTGCAAGAATCTCACAACTTCTATATGCCTGTTTATATGGAACTATGGCAAAGATTTCTGGGTATTGGTCCAGCTATAAGAGCCGGTGGCAGAGTGGCTTCAATGAGCAGGTCTGTTTCTTTTATATCTCTCTCTCTCTATATAATTATATATGTATAATTCTTATTACTGTCATATGTATTTATTCCAGTTGTGCATCATTCCTCCACTTCTCTGCCGAACCAATTAATATACCTTTTATAGGAACCTAAAAGAATATGTAAAAGAGCTATGTTTGTGTGTCAAGTCTCATGTTTAACAGATGGGAGAAAATTTCCGATACTCTCGTGATGGTTGTGTGAATATAGATTCAGACACTGAAAGTACCAAAAAACCAATGGCAGCCCTAAAATTTTCAGCGGAGCAGGGATATATTGGTCAAATAGAAAGGCATCTAACCTTGTCTTTTAATAATATGAGTGTAGGTAATTAAAATGAGAACGTCCTCTCATCTGTTCCCAAACCCAATCGAAAAACTCGCCGTCCTTCTCCCATCAAACCCGAGGAACCGCCGCCGGCGCTGCCGCTGTACTGCCGGTCCTCCCATCTCTCCGTTTCTCCCTTGTTTTTTTGCCTATCAAGTAGATCTGTTTTCCCCTATAATTTCTGAAAGAAAAGAAGATTTATGTTTTATCCCAGATGAGTTATATTATTCAATTTTATTACACTCACAATTATTTTTTCCGTTTCAGGTTGGCAAGATGTTNGATTGATTTTTTTTTTCTTACAAGACATTTGAGTTGATATTCTGATCCATCATAGCAAGATTGGATTATTTATTTATTTATTTATTTATTTTTTATTTTTTATTTTTTTGCATATGATCGATTCAATTCAAACTTATTCTTTGTTGTCCTTTTGTTGCTTGTTTATCAAATTTTCTATCCCTTAATTTGATATATTCTATTGGTCTCTAGATGAAGACGACGTTTTTGCTATTTAATAGATTCTGGGTTTTGGATGAATCCATTTGATATACGTAGAAAGATGTGTCCCTCTTTAGGAAAGATAGGATTGAATTTTCTTCTATATTTTGTTACTTCCTGAAATTTGCAAACTCTAGTGCTATTCTTAATTTTTCCCAAGTGTCAGTTCTGCAAGTTTTAACTTTTGTTGAGCAGGAGCATAGCAAGCTAGGTCAGCTAACAAGTGTATTGCAAGGTTCAATTTGTATCACATGTTTCATGTTTTTCTCTTTGAAACTCTACGATGTACCATATCTTAGGAGGGATTTAAAGACCTTTTAGCTTTATATTGATGTTTATATTGTAAATTATTTTGGATTCTCTCTAATGTTTATCTCATATCTCATTTTTATTTTCCTTTATTTCTTGTATTTTCATTTTGCGGTGTTTCTGATTGGGGCTTTTCTTGCTGCAGGGGGGGTCTCTTGAAATATGAATGACACGGTGATGTTTTTATAAATTCTATAATGTGCTGAAAAAGTATGAAGAACTTTTCTTTCCTCTCTTCTATGTTGAACCTCTCCTCCGTTAGCCTTTTCATAAAGCTTTTTGTAGTTGTTGTTGTTGTTGTTTTTTTTTTTNTGTTGGAAAATTATAATGATAGAATCGAGAATTTATTTTAAATTACTTTTCTTGGCTAAACTTGTTTCCTTACTAATTTGTAGGTACCTTTGCAGTTGCAGGCTGGATTTATGCTCGAATCCTTGAGGGAGTTTATTTGACACTCTCTCATGGAGTTTATTTGACATTTTTTCTCTTTTTCCCCCTAGCATATCTGATACCTATACCTAAATGTAATTTGTTCCCGTTTGAATACATCATCACTTAATTGGTCTGCCCACCCAGCTGCAGTTGTAATTTGTTTTGTTCATCCCATTTCCTATCATGCTCTGCTATATATCCATACTTACACATCTGTTGTCATTGTATTTTAGACTTTGACAAAAGACAAATTGGGTTATGATCCATTGGAGGGCAATCCTGAGGATATGGTTTATGTGGCGAAGGAAAAACCCCAGGTTAGTATATTTGACTACAATTTTTTTGCACTATTGGTGCATTGTGCTGTTCAAGAAGAGCAATTCATAGTCGAGTGGTCCAAATATTTTTGAAATGGTTCAATAGGAAATAAAAATTGCAGATTATTTCTCACACTTCATTTGGAAATACAATTTAACATGAACTTGTTTAACTTGTGGCAATCGATTATAAAAACAGAAGCAGGTTAACAACTTCATGTTGGAATGAATTTTGGTTTTTTTTGTTAAAAATGTGTACTGAATAAATTGGAAAATGTGTACTGAATAAATTGGAAAATGTGTCAGAATATATTTGTACATAAACAGGGCAATACACTTCGAATGATTTGGTTTATAACTGTAACTAGTACAATACCCGTGTACTAGGTGGTTGATAAAATAATTAAATGTATAATAAAAAATGAAAAAAAAATTATATATTTTGTTGAAGTTGGAAAAATTAAATAAAGAACAATATATAACAATTTATAATAAATAACTAATCGAATTAACAATATTATTTTAAATTCTGAAAACTAATTTATATAGCTCATTAATTTTATTTATAATATTTTTATTTAAAACATATAAGTGAATAATATGAACAAAGCACAAAATTTAGAAAGCAAGGTTACATGCACATTATAGAAAAAAGATAATAAATAAATTTTATATGGAATGACTTAAATATATTAAATATGTGTACATATATGGTAATCCGAACTTAAGTTATTTAGTATAAAAAATTAATAATTTTTATCCAAGCCATATTACAAAGCATAATATTTTGCCATGTAAGATTACAAAGCATGCGAAGCTGCCATATAGGCTCAACGCGTTCTGAAATTATATGTAAAGGGGATTTTGGGAGATTGTGTAGTTTTCATTGACAATATTTCCTTCATGTTGACCATTCCTTCGGTCACTCAGTCCTCTCATGAGTATACTTCCACTAAATTTTAATGTTTTTCGGTTTTTCCCATTGCTATGGCTTTGCAGATGTTGGCATCGAATTCTGTTTCAAATGTTGTTTCAACTTATTATCTTTTTTATGACTTATATGCAGCACTTCATATTCTCTCTTACTACCATATTACCAATGCCAGCTGATGAGGTCTTTACGGAATGGAAGCGGGACACTTGTCGAAATGGTTCTTATGGTCCAGGTGAATAAATGCTTTAATGTTGAAACTTCCAGTAAGTGACATGCATGTGATATTTTTATTCCCACCTCCCAAAAGTGAACTTATCATTAATGTCTTCTGAGGTGATCCCATCTTTTGTGAAGTAACAACAGCTGAAAGAAAAGAAGTCTAAACATTAGCTGCTTAAGCGACCGGGGCTTTTTTTTTATATTTTCTTATATATATACATGTGTGTGTGAGCGCGCGCGTGTGGGTGTGCTTATGTGTGTGTGTTTGTATGCATGATTGCAAGTTATAACTTATTTTTTCAATTCTATGATGCATGCAGTCATATAAAGTTTATATGATGTCTCTATCCTAATAAACACCTATATGATTCATAGAAGTTCTACAATAATCAACTTCGGGAGAGCGAAACACACATTGGGCCACGTGGAATGCCTGGAAGTGGGGTTTCTAGATCTGATCTCCACTCAAATTTTAAACTCCGGTTGCTTGTGAGGTTATCTATTTCAGCTCCTTTTTAATCGGAATCTTTATGCTTGTTAACTTCTGAAAAAGCATGCTGTATGTCACTTTAGCCAATAACTTACATAAAACAGAACATTCTTGCAACAGATAGCAAATTACAAAGCAAAATTGTTTATCCTTGTTGCAGCAGTTTAGTGAATGGTATTGAAATTTCTAGTCGCCTTTCCCCCTGAGATGGCACACAGTATTCTTGGATTCTTTTTCTNCTGTCATAATTCCTGGTTATATTTAAGTCGTATTTTAATATTTATCAAATTTGTTCATTAGGCCATGGGTGAAGATGCCTTAAGTCTCTTAAAATGGTTTGCATCTTCTCAAGTTGCAGAAGGTATCAATTCGGATGATGAACTTGCCCGGGAAACAATTTTGAGTCCCTTACGCCCTTCCACACACATTGGGAAGGTCTTAGAGAGGGCCAACGTAGTGAATCACAGAAAGAGTGTCAGGACATCCTCGATTCTATTGATATGGTTAATTTCGAGAAATCTGATTGCGAAGCCTCTTGTCCTGTGGAAATTAATCAGTTGTTTGAAATTCTGTTATATAGAACAATATCACAAGTGGGATGGCTCCAGTGATGACTGACAGCCTGTATCCTGCCAGGGGAAAAGTGAAGCAAAACCTCATGTGGAACACCAATCATGGCCTCCATTGGATTCAAGCTTAATAGGTGAGAACAGAATGAAGAGACCTCGCTAGGATTCTTTGCCTATCTCTCGTCAAAGAGCAAGTGCCATTTTTCCTCCTGATACATTGTGCATTCCCAGAGGAATTGAAGAGAGAAAAGAAGATTCAGGAACTTCCTGTTTGGGGGATGAATCAAAAAGTGCTTTAATAAAAAAGAACTTAGAGGAGGGAAATCTGCCAAAGAATAGGAGTCCTGAAGATGTGGGATATGACTCTTGCCTGTGTTTCAAAAACTGAAGTTGTCTGTGAAGATTATCCTGGTTTGTTTGAGCCCTGTGGGACATCAGAAAACTTAAACAAGGAATATGAAACTGCAAACCTAATTGGTGTGACCTTCTCTATGAAACCTCCAACTATTAATACAGATGAGCCCAAGAGAGAAGGCAGTAACGTACATACATCTATTCAGGGAGATATTGAAGATAATTGCCTCCCATTTTTTCTCCCCAGAGAAAGTACTTGACGGTGTTTGCCTTAGAAAGTGCAAAAATGATGGAAACCGAGAGCAAGTACTGGGTGTTCCTACATTTTTTCAGATGGTCATATTTATTCATGCTGACCCCTGCTACCTCACCTCCATCGACAGAATCTGTCGATAACTGGCTATCATCCAATTCCTTTAATAATATCTTGGAGCAGAAGACAAATGTTCCATCACCTTTTGGGGATATGGTGGAGTTACAGGGTTCTCAAGCTCACAATGGCGATTCCCCTTTGCCTGAGTGTGCTCCTTTGTCAGAAGAAAAGCTTGATCAAAAGAACGGCACTGTGGAAGTTGATGTGAATACGAAAAACATATCAACTGCCTGCTCGATGGTCATTTCTCAAATATCCGGCCCAGATAAGAATATGATGCACTCCATTGAGTCAAATCGGTTTCCGTGATCCAGCAAGTGTTGGTCAAGGGCAGCAGCTAACGTTGATAACTGCTGAAGCATTCCATAAGTTAAACTCAATATGTGCACAGTTGAAGCTGTAGCTGAAACAGTTATGGGGCGAAAATATCCATATATCTCTTGGATAGTACTAAAACAATCGGTACAGATCTATTGACTATACACTAGAGAGAGCAAAGTTGAGCCTGCGGATTATGAATATGCTCGATATGATAAACCGAACATCAGAACTTGCTCGAGTGTTTGGTATCGACTTTTTTTCCAGTTTTATCTCAAGGCTCACAGTTTCGTGTTGAATCAATGTTCCTTCTATTAGCACACACACATAACTTTCTTGCCATATCTCCTGGAAAGCAACAGGTTGCCAATCAACCCGCAATGGAGTGCTTACTGATAGGTGCGTATCACGCTCCTCTTAATTCTTTTATCAGTTCATAGGAACATAAGGACATTTAAACAAAAATCTGGGGTGCACTTTGCCTGCAGACACGCCATGATGATATTAATATGCATGTTTATGCTGGGCATGTTTGTCTATTTTTGTCTGGGACTAAGTATTTCTTTATCTTCTTTGGTGCAACATGTTTGTACTTTTAAAAGGGCGTTCTCTTAGAGAAGCTTTCACGATTGGACGAGAAATTGCATCAACTATAACTGAAATAAATCCAAATCCTGTCACGTTAAAAATGGAGAAAGTTTACTTCCCGTGCTTCCTCATGAAAAAGTGGTATGTTGGTTATAGTTATGAGTTCCCCGATCAGAGGAAACCAACCCTTGATGCTAAGGGTGTTGAGACAGTTAGGAGAGATACTTGCGTGGCTGTATCCAAAATGTTGGAGTAGTCATTGAGGATTTAATTCAAAAGTCAGAATATTGATAAGGTGTAGAGTCTGTTTTTCTTCTTCTCCTCTAAGATCTTGTTTGAATAATTTCATATGTTATATCACTGAACAAAACTATCTTATCTCAAGTTCACCGCAGAATAATGGCCAATATGTGATTATGTTCATCTTTCTTGTTGATTATGTTCATCTTTCTTGTTGGCTATTGGGTTTATATAGGAGGAAGCTGCAGCTTCATTTTTGGTCTTTTAGGGTAATGGTTGTTACCTTCTATGAATTTAGTCCAGTGGGAAAGACCCAATTATAATGCTATAAATAAGCTAGAAATAGTCTATGCCACCATGAGTTATCTGTCAAGGATTTGGTCAAGATGATGACTATAGTGATGGTGGACTTTTCTACTGTACAGCAACAACAACATACAACATACCCAGTATATTCCCAACAGATTGGGGTCTGGGGGTACGCAGACCTTACCCTTGTAATTATAAGAGGAGCCTGTTTCCGTAGCGACCCAAGGTGCATTGCGCCGTTTGATATATTCTTTTTTTCTAGAAACTTCACTAATAGAAGAAGCACTAGAATTTAATTGAGTCATTTTGATCTAGTCCATTATTAGCACTATGCCAGGAGAATTGTCAACAATGACTCTTCCAGCTCCATTTGCAATGGACAAGTGGACTTTTCTACTGTAATCACTATAAATTTATTGTGATCATCTCTTTTTACACAAAATTTGCATCGAAATCAATGCCAAGAAAAGACCAAGGGATGGCAAATTATTAATTGGAATAAATAAAGAAGTGGCTATATTGATAAAAAAGTTGAAAAGAAAAAAAAGAAAATGGTTGCATAGTTATCATGGGCAAAGTTGTGCTAGTTAAATTAATTGAAAATTAGTATTTAATTCTATAAGTACGGAATCTGGAGAGGATCACTAGGTTAGGAATCGTGTTTGAACCTGATAGAGGCTTCAACATTCTTATTTATGGAAATCCATGTTGATTTATGCATGCATTTATGATGCAACTCTTTTAGGTTTCTCTCTTGCTGAAATTTTCTTTGTGTAATTCTGATCAATTGGAAGTTTTGATGTGCAAGATCATTTTTATCTCTAGGTCATCACATACTTTGCCTTTGAAACTTAGTGCTTGGTCACTACTTTTGCAAACTGCAGGCATAATATTAGTGTGTAACTGGGAACTGATTTGATAAACCTGATTTCGGTAATCATGGGCGCATAGAAATTTATCTTTTGTCCATTTATTGAATCTGTGGGCCTTCTTAATTTTCTTTTGTTTAGGTCATACACTATTTGGACTTTTCGGGGCTGATTTGAACCTGGACATGCCCCGCACAGCATGTGAAGCATGTGAAGCATGTGAAGCACGTGAAGCTACTGGAAAACGATATTTGCTCATAATCCACAGAGGAGAGCACGAGAATTGACTATTACAACAAATCGAAACATTGTATCCTGTGTGGCGACTTGGTGCATGGATCGGCCCATTTATGTCACAACTGTCGAAAGGATGAAACAACCGTTGCTGTGACAGAGGTTGCTGCTAAACAAGCTGGGGTTGAGAGTTGTTGTCCAATGAAGAACCGTACAATTAAGCTAGCAGAGAAAAAAGCTCCATGCAGAAGAACTCAAAACGTGAGAAGGATTTACTACACCTTGCCGTAAGTATTGTATTTGGTGTTGCACATTCTCATTGACGTAGATTTTGCATTTCATTTTAAAAGAGAGAATGTGAATATAAACTTTCTCATTCACGTAGATTTTGCATTTGATTTGAGTTTCCATATAGATTTTGGTTCTCATTCACATATCTTCTCAAGTGCGCATGTAAACAGAACATTAGAAAACAATAGACAATGGAAATGTGAAGTTTTAATTCACCACTGCTTCTAATTCTAAGTCGTCTAATTCTCAATGACTACTTATGACTCAATGTTTGCCCTTGCCTTTCTTGCCTTGCCCTCTGATTTTTTGTTTTAAAAAATAAATTCGAGATAAGTGACATGTTAAGAAAAAGTAAACTAGGAAAAGTAAACTCCTCTTACCTTTAGAAGTTTCAGCAACATCAGTGTTTCCCCTTTCCTTTGAATATGTTTTTTTTTTTCAAAAAATAAATTTGAGGTAAGTGACATGTTAAGAAAAAGTAAATTCATACCTTTAGAAGTTTCGGCAACATCAATGTTTGTTTCATCAACATCAACAATTCAACATCCTTCAGCTTGCCCTTTCAAACATCTGATTTACTTTTTCAAAAATAAATTCGAGGTAACTGTCATGTTAATCTAAATTCTTATTTATGCAATCAGCCATATGTCTGTCATTGAGAACTTCATGCGTTACCTTTGATCTCAGTTTCAAAACTGGAATAAATAAAGAAGCGACTATATTTATAAAAAAAGGGAAAAAAGAAAAATGGCTGCATGGAGTTATCATGGGCAAAGTTGTGTTAGTTAGGTTATTTGAAAATTAGTATTTAATTCTATAAGTACGAGAGGATCACTAGGTAAGGAATGATGTTTAAACTTGATAGAGGCTTGGACATTCTTATATATGGAAATCCATGTTGATTTATGCATGCATTTATGATGAACTCTTTTAAGTTTCTCTCTTGCTGAAAATTTCTTTGTGTAATGCTGATCAATTAGAAGTGTTGATCTGCAAGAACATTTCTATCCAGCCAGTAGAACCTCAAAACTCTAAGTCAGCCCGGGAAAGCAAGTAGTGAAGAAACAATACAACCAAAACTAAAACCAAGGGTAAGAACCAATGATGAATACCTTTTCGTGATGAAGGAACGCGTGCTCTAGGGTAAAACTCTTCACCTCATTTTCCAGCCCCTCTGTAAGGTTTGAAAATAGTGTAAGCGAGCGTAAAACTTCAAATAGACTTTTGATGACTTATTAAGAAGAGGAATGATCCTATTTGTTTAAAAGTAAACCATCAGAAGTCCTTTTGAACTTTTGAACTTGTTTTAAAGTAGGAATGGTTTTACGCTCGCTTACCCGTAGAGGGTCTGAAAAAAGATCTGCAAACATGAAGAGTTCTACCCTAGAGCGTTTCTCAAGCAACGTAAAGGTATCCATCATTGGTTCTTATCCTTTTGGTTTTTTGTTTTGGTTGTATTGTTTCTTTGCTGCTGGCTGTCTCGGGCTGACTTGGAGTTTTGAGGTTCTACTGACTAAGTCATTTAAGAATTTCTAGTTTGGAAAATAAAATTCTATGGCTATGTTTGGTAAACCTAGCTGATAAGCTAGCTTATAGCTTATTAGTAATTTTCGAGCTTATAGCTTATAGCTTATGACTTATAGCTGAAAAGCTAGATTATATGATAAGAGTGTTTGGTAAAATTAGCTGATAAGCTAGCTGAAATAAAAATTTCAAGGAGCTTATTTGAAAAACTACCAAAAGAAGCTTATCAAATAAGCTCGAGCTTTTTAAATAAGCCCATCTTACCAAATGGAGCTTATTTAAATTTAAATACAGGGAGCTTATAAGTTAATCAAATAAGCTATAAGCTAGCTTATTGGTCTACCAAACATAGCCTATATAAAGTCCAAAACAGACACCTTAAGCATAATTTCTTATGTAACTTATATAGTCTACAGATTCAAGAAATGGACAAGAGATAAATTTCTATGCGCCCTGATTACCATAATCAGGTTTATCAAATTAGTTCTCAGTACACATTAATATTATGCATGCCGTTTCCGAAAGTAGTGACCAAACACTAAGTTTCTAAGACAAATTATGTGATGAACTGGAGATAGAAATGTTTTTGCAGAATCTTCCAATTGATCAACATTACACAAAGAAAATTTCAGCAAGAGAGAAATCGAGTTGCATGCATAAATCAACATGGATTTTATATATAAGAATGTTCAAGTCTCTGTGAAGTTCAAACATGATTCCTTACCTAGTGATCCTCTCGTACTTATAGAATTAAATACTAATTTTCAAATAACCTAACTAGCACAACTTTGCCCATGATATCTCCATGCAACCATTTTCCTTTATTCCTCCTCTTTTTTTCTCAATATAGCCACTTCTTTATTTATTCCAGTTAGTAAATTTGAAACTGAGATCAAAGGTAACGCATGAAGTTCTCAATGATAGACATATGCCTGATTGCATAAATAACAATTTAGATTAACATTGTCACTTAACTCGAATTTATTTTTTGAAAAAACAAATCCGATGCTGGTAAGGGCAAGCTGAAGGATGTTGATGAAACAAACATTGATGCTGAAACTTCTAAAGATAGGAGTTTATTTTTTTTTAACATGTCACTTATCTCAAATTTATTTTTTTAAAAAAACAAATTCAAATGCTGGAAAGGGCCGTTGCTGAAACTTCTGAAGGTAGGAGTTTACTTTTTCTATTTACTTTTTCTTAACATGTCACTTACCTCGAAATTATTTTTGAAAAAAACAAATCAGATGCTGGAATGGGCAAGGGTAAACATTGAGTCATAAGTAGTCACTGAGAATTAGGCGACTTAGAATTAGAAGCGGTCGTGAACTAAAACTTCACATTTTCACTGTCTAATGTTTTGTTTACATGCGTACTTGAGAAGATATGTGAATGAGAACTAAAATTTACATGGAAACTCAAATGAAATGCAAAATCTACGTGAATGAGAATATCTATATTCACATTCTCTCTTTTAAAAATGAAATGCAAAATCTACGTGAATGAGAATGTGTAATGCCAAATACAATACTTACGGCATGGTGTAGTAAATCCTTCTCAAGTTTTGAAGTGCAAGGTTATTTTGAAAAATTGTTCTCTACATCCAATCCTTCAGTGGAGTGGAGTGGAGTGGAGTGGAGAGTTGCAGTCTGCAAGGAATTCCTATCTCAATCACAGAGGACATGAATGCCACGTTGACCAGATCAGTGGAGGAAGAAGAAATTAAGAATGCTCTTATGGCCATGGATCCAAATAAAGTCCTAGGAGTGGATGGTATGTCACCTGCCTTCTTTCAAAGTTCTTGGTCTGTTGTGAATCATCATCTTTGTTTGGCTGTTAAAAATTTCTTTCATTCTGGCAAAATGCCAAAGGCTGTGAACCATACTGCTGTGACTCTAATTCCTAAAAAGAAAATAGCCATTTCTTTACCTGATTTTAGGCCCATTAGCCTTTGCACTGCCACATATAGGATTATTGCTAAAATTCTTGCTAATAGGCTTAAAGAGACTTTGTCTTTTTGCATCTCTCCTTCTCAATCAGCATTTATTCCTAGTAGACAGATTTTAGACAATGCGATAATTGCTAATGAGTGCATTCATTTTCTAAACAGTAAAAAGAAAGGCAAAGACAGGTTTATGGCAGTCAAACTAGATATGGCCAAGGCTTATGATAGGGTAGAGTGGTGTTTTCTGGCTAGTGTTTGTAAGAAAATGGGTTTTTGTGATAAGTTTTTGGCTGGGATCATGGTTTGTGTTAGTAGTTCTTCCTTTTCTTTTAACATCAATGGGGAGCTTTTGGGGTCTGTGACTCCCTCTAGGGTCTAAGGCAAGGAGATCCTCTATATCCTTACCTTTTTATCCTATTATCTGAAGCTCTTTCTAATGTTCTGAAGCAAGCTAGTAGTAATGGGCTTCTTTTTGGCATGAAAATTTGTAAGCATTTCCCTACTTTGACATATCTTTTCTTTGCAGATGATGCCATTCTCTTTTGTAAGGCTTCTGTGTCTCAAGCATCTCTGTTGATGGATATTTTGGGGAATTATGGGAGGGCATCTGGGTAGGCAGTTAACTTACATAAGTCTTCAGTGTTTTTTTCCAAAAATACTCCTTCTGATACTGTGTCTGATATTTGTTCCATTTTGAGAGGAATAGCTTGTGTTTCTACTCTAAGTACCTTGGGCTACCTCTCTAGGAGTGAGAAGATCTAAGAGGGAGACCTTTAGATATGTGTGATAAAGTTAAAACTAGAGTGTCTAGTTGGAAAAATTCTTTTTTTTTTCGAGTGATGCAGGAAAAAAGATCTTAATTAAAACAGTCTTGAATGCTCTTCCTGTGTATGTGATGGCTTGTTTTAAACTCCCTGTTTCTTTGTGTTCTGATATATGCAAGGTGATATGTTTTATCATAGTTCCATTCTTGGAATTTATGTGGCCCGTGTTCCTGAAGCTCTTTCTGAACATGCTGCCATGAACCTTCCAGGACAAGATGAAAGAGCAGGTATACGCATTCAGAAGTTGATTGGGTTCTAAGGGAGTAATTATCTTGAGTAACTTTGTTTATCCGTGTAGTGGGATCTTCACGTGTTTCGTTGCTTACCTTATTGGATATTCCACTGAATTCTTGTTATGCACTCTTACTTATATTGGTATTTCGTATCTATTCCCTGATTTCCGTTTCATTTTAATGTATTCTGCAGTTTGTGAGCAGGGAGCATAAAGAATTCTCGAGACTTGTCAATAAAGAGGCAACTATTCATTATTCACCTTATAATAATCTTGTGCATTAATGTGAATAGGCTGAGAAGGATGAGTAATTAACTTTGTAGAATGCTTTTGTGAAACTCTCGACCAATACCATTCTCTCGGATAGTTTGTCACTTGTTGACTCAAAAATGGATGGCATATCGTTTCAGTTAGCATAAAGATTAACTTGGTTTTTGTGTTGAATATTGATCATTACAAACAACAACAACAAAGCCTTTAGTCCCAAGCAAGTCGGGGTAGGCTAGAGATGAAACCCAAGAGAACCATCGGTAGTGTTGAATATTGATCATTACTTGACTAAATTCCTTTTGGGAAAAACATGATGAGATCTGAGAAACTTTAGCATAGCTAATTTAGATCAATAACTGTTTCGTGTTTCAGTGTTTCAGGAATAATCTGTGGAAAACAGGTGATATGACTGTCAAGTATCATGTTTCCAACATAATTGCTGTATTTTGTGTAAATTTGGTTAATGGAAAATGACTTCAAACCTTTGCTTTCTTCACAAACCAGTCCACCATTGACTCTTAATCCATCATATTTTTTGTATCATAAAATGTTTAAACACATGCTTGGTCAACAAGATCTCATTATTCTATCATGTCCTTCCAATTTTGTGGTTTTCTAAGTCCATGGTATTCTATCATATTCCTGGAAATCAAATGTTATGTTTTGTCAATCCAGGCTGATGCTATGCTTCAAAAACTTGAGAAAGAAAATCGATGATGTGGATGCAAAAATTGGTGACATACTCTTGACAGGTAGATCTTCCGCCCAATTCCCACTAAACTTTAAGGAAAAAGAAAATGCCAAGTTGCTACAAGAAAAATAACATATTCATCAAAAAAATATTCTTCATTCATATATTAATACTCGAGAATCATGTACTGTCCGGGAGGTCGATCCAATAGTTAGTCGATCCACGTCGCTTTGCATCAGGACACAACAAGAGCGAAGTTGTGCTCCTATCCCCAAAATCATACACATAAACCAGCCGGCCCTTTTTGTTGGCATAGTATATGCAATTCGGTTTGCTTCCTCCGCCAAAGGCGGACCAACAGCAGAACCCATTACCGCACGAGCCGATGAAAACCGTCATCCCATCTATTCGGTCGAGCTCCACGCACTCCCTCCTCTCCACATCTACTCGGAAAACACGGAACACCATGCCATCATCCTCCTTATCCGCATGGTAGCCAAATAAGTACACCTTCATGACAAGGAGGAGCTCGCCCGTGCCAGCTGGCGACTCGATTAGGTAGCCAGGACCTAGGCCGGTCCATCTCGGTTCTGATAGGGGCGGTATCCAGAGGCCCAACCCGTCGGCCGACTTTAACGGCACGATCATGATGGTTGGCCCCTCGACCAGATCAACGGTCACGAGCTGGTAGCCGTCGAGCTTGGAGAATTTGAAGAGGACGCCGTAAATTTGTCCGTGGAGTGCGCCGATGGCCACCATTGAAGAGGTGCTCTTGGATTCAATTAGGAACCGCTTGGCGAACTCGTGGGCCCCGACCACGCACACGGACAGCTTGAAGCCGTACGGGCAGATAAAGGCGGCGAGGCAGCCTGGCTCGGTGGGAGGTTTGGAGAGGACGCATCTGTTGTAGGCAGACGAGTTGTGGAGTGGGGGGAGGGGGATTTTCTTGGCGAGCTGCGGGTTCCAGAGGAGGCACTCGTCGGTGAGGGGGTCGGCCATGGCCAGCCAGCCGTGGTTGGAGCCGAGCACGCGCTGCCGGAGAAATTGGGGATGGAGGCCGTGCGGGACCAGTTGCCGGAGAGGCTGTAGAAAGAATGTTTGTCGTGGGCTTGAGTGTGCGAGGTCATGAGCAGAGGAACTTGAGTTTTTCTCTCCATAGCGCTTGAGCAACTCGTATATGTTTAAATCTGGTTCCACCAGGATTTTTGATGAGGAATTATATAATTATTGTTTTCTAGTACAAGAATATGAAAGGAAGATCGAGCAAGATGGAAACAAAATATATGTTCCCCTACATATAATTTGATCTGCATATATTTGTTGTAGTTAACGTATGTTTTATATCAAATATAGTCACATTAATATTCCTTCTTATATATAAATGCATATGTTATTTCATCAGTAATTCTATGGAGGCATCGAATAGTTCGGCTCATGGAATCATCCATAATTATCCATAATTATCCACAAATGGCTGGCGGCCTCGTTATGACCTTTGACTTTGCATTAGCTGCGTTCGTCCAGAGTATTGACACGTGTCTTGCAATAAATACACATTGGACATGTGTCGATACATAAAGTTATGGATGACTCCATAAGAGAGCCATCAAATGGGTCCATAGAATTACTGATTATTTCATACTCCTATGGTTGAGTTCTAGTCCTATGGTTGAGTTCTAGTCCTTATCAATTTTCGGTGGTTCATAGAATTACTGATTATTTCATACTCCTATGGTGTCCTTCTCAATTTTCGGTGGTTCGAAATTCTAGTCCTTGTCAATTTTTGTGGTTCCTATGGTTGAGTTCTAGTCCTCCTCAATTTTCGGTGGTTCGAAATTCTAGTCCTTGTCAATTTTTGTGGGTCGGACTTTTTTTATTCATCCTTACTATAACGTTTAAAATTATAAAACACTCGAGATGAATTAAGTTATAAATTTATGTTAAAATTTAATTACTTTTCTATTTTTCCCGAGATCTTCATATATTAAATTAATAATATTTTGACGAATATCAATATTGCATATAGAAGAAAACAATTAAATACAGAATGAGTCTTTTGGATGATGGTATCATTTTAAATAGTAAATAATAATATGTTTGGTAAGAGTTATTAGAAAACTTAAACAAAAACAATAATATATATTTTCTAAGGATTATTAGAAAACTAAAACAAAATCTTCCAAGAGGAAAACAAAGATTCAGCAACTCGAAACAAGGAATAAAAATTCAAATCCACGTCGTGGTCGTAATAAGGTCATTCGTGGGGATGATTGGTGCAGGCATCACCCACGTGGCAAAATCCAATCTCGTAAGGCAAAGCGCATCTTCGCACGAGTATCTTCCATCGTCCGAATGAAACATCCCGTCCCTCAAAGAGTAGAAAAAGGCATTGCCGCCGTAAAATTTGGGCAACCGGATCGTGTTAGCCGTGGCTTCCGTACAAGCCGTGGCCCCAAATGACGAAAATGCGCTAAGGTACAATACTTTGTCCCTGAAATCCTTCATCAAATCCCACTCATCGACTCCTCCAAGAGCCTATAGACTCTCACCTTGCGCTCGTCTCCGAAGGCAAACGCCCCGAAAAGCTCGTCGAGCCCCTTCACCTTGAACAAGTAGTGCTCTCTTATATAACCCTTTCGGACACGCCCCCATCGAAAGCACTTGTAACTCACGTCGAGACGTCGTTTGGACATGTCGAACCTCGCGACATTTCCTTTCATATCCAAGAAGAAGACGAGCCCTCGGTGGAGAATCGGGGCCCCACGCGACAACAAGAAACTTGATGCCGTTTTTTGCTCGACCCTCGACCACCCTTTCTTTCCGCGCCTTAGCACGTGAATCTCTACCACATTTTCATAACTTATGGTGCCGATCCCCAACACCGTGCATTCCTCAGAGGTGGGCGGATGGAAAAATGAGACGGAGGTGAAGTTGGGAGGGGTTCTGAACGGGAGCTCGACCGACCGGCGGTTGGAGGGGTCGAAGAAGAAAAGGGTGGAGTCGCGCCGGGAGACGAGCAGCCAGCCGTGCCGGGAGCAGCGTATCTCGGCATCCTTCGGGAGCTCGGGAAAGGTCTCGTGGAAGAAGGAGCCGCCATGCGGGTGGTGGAACCGCCACGTACGCGTGCCCGGGTGATAGTCGATGAGGCACGGCGAATACCGGTGGGGTGAGGTTGCGGCGACTCTGTTCCATGGCCGACAGACGAGGCTGAAACTGTGGCGGTCTCTGGCGAATAGGTTGGCGAGGATCAGGTCAAGGAGCTCGGGAAGGAGATCAGCCCAATTGGCCATGCTTGCGTTAATATACCTGTATTCTCAATTGTTGGAAATTATTTAGATTGTCTAATGATGGTGTAGAAACAATAATATATGAGTAGCAATAACCTCAAAAGAGAGAATAAAAGCATAAACCTTGTAGAACACAAGGTTAGGAAAATTAGGGGGTGTATTATGCAACTTTTAAGACTTTTGTAGTTTTGCAGATTTTGTGAGATTGTTATGAAGATTTTTTTAAGACTTTCAATGTAACTTTTTTGAGACTGAAACTTTCTAAGATTTTTGTATAATTTTTAATATAATAATTAAATTTATATGAAATGCACATAAAAAATTATGTACATCATAACTAATATCAATAAAGTTGAGTTAGTAATTAAAATTTATAATATTAATTTTAAATATGTTATGATATTAAACACTATTGAGCTAGATAAGAGAAAAATATATTATTTGACTGTTATTTGTTTTTCTCTCCAATAACTGGTATTTACCTGTTGGTCCTAATATCTATCTTGAGCAGCTAGTTTGCAATTTCTACTTGAATACTGAGAATTTATAATGTATAATATTTGTCAAAATTACTAAAACCCAATGTGAATGCTGAAAACATATAATGCATAATATTTTTCAAACAATTGGTATTCTTCTTCCATGTATTAAATATAAACGAGAACGTGCCATTATTTTGTTTTTACCGATATAAGCTTATACTAAGTTTTTTTTTCCCCCTGAAAACGAAAAAGAAAAACTGAAGTCTACTACTAGATTACACACGATAATTTTCTTTCATTTGACATTCTTTGAACCATTGTTTTTCGTGTTTTTACGCTTTCATTTATTTTCTTTTCCCTTTTCTGAATAGATACAATCCAAATCCTATGTTAGAGCATCTCCAATGTTCAATGTTGTAGTGGTAAATTACATTCTACATCAACACATTTATTAATATCACAACTTTCCATTCTCCAATGTACAATGTGATTACAAATGTTGTGGTGATGTGGACATAATTAATGTCTACAATGTAGAGAGGAATGTGATTCATCCACATTCTCTTCCACACTCTAGCTAGCCAATGAAGAAAAGAGAGAGAATTATTATTACCATTTTTAAACTATTTAATTAATTTTATTAATTTATATTAAAATTTTAATATTGGTAAGTAGATAATATTGTATTTAGATTATATTGTGCATTGGAGATGATTTTTTAATTTAATAGTTATGAACTCAACATTTGTCCTACATGGTTCACAATCTATTTAATATTTTGACATTTGTCAAAAATTTTCCAATAACAACATTAAAGTATTGGAGATGCTTTGCTCGGTTTTCGTGAATATCTACCCCAAACACCATTCGCTGCTAGAAACTCGGTTCACAAAAGTGAAAAACTTTATCACAACAAAAGTTCATAACGAGCAAATCAGGCAATGAAATCGAACAAAATATCAAGTACAAAATTTGAATCTTGCAATAACCTCGAAAATAGAGAACAAAAACATAAACCTTGTAGAACACAAACTTGGGAAAATATAAGAATGATAGCCTAAGGAAATAGGATATCAGAGGAACAGACGAAAGAAAAAAAAAAGTAATAGCCTAACGAAACAGGAAAAAGAAAAAAGAGAGAGGTAGAGATAAGGGGAGAGAAGATGTAAAGAGAAAGGAAGATGTTGACTTGGTCAGTTCACAAAGATATCGATAGGGCTCTGGTGTGCGAGGTCATGAGCAGAGGAACTTGAGTTTTTCTCTCCATAGCGTGAGCAAAAATTACTCTTATGAGTGGTGGGTTGGGTAAGTATGATTTATAGTCCTCGTATATGTATAAAACTGAGTTCCACAAGGATTCTTGATGGAGAATTATATAATTATTGTTTTCTAGTATAAGAATCTGAAAGGAAATAAGCAATATGGAAACAAAATATATGTTCCCCTACATTAATATATGTTCTCACGTTGTATAATTTGATATGTTTTATATATGGTCACGTTAATATTCCCTCGTATCCATCCATGCTATATATGAATGCATATGTTATTTCATACTCCTATCCTTGTTATATATAAATGCATATGCTATTTCATACTCCTATGGTTGAGTTCTAGTCCTCACTTTTTAGTGGTTCGGAAGTCTAGTCCTTGTCAATATTTTGGTGGTTCGGACAATGACTTGTTTTTATTCATTCTTAGTATAACTTTTAAAATTATAAAACACTTGATTAATTAAATTATAAACTTCTATTAAAATTTATTAACTTTTGTATTTTTTTTCTCAAATTTTCATATGTTAAATTAATAATATTTTGGTCTTTTAGATGCTAACACAATGTGAAAAGATTGTGGATACTGTGGGCATTTTATCACTTCCATCTGAAGATTCTACTTTCGAGAGGAGGAGGAAACTGGATTTCCTTGGAATGCAGGAGGAGTTTATTAAGGTTGATGAAAATTTTCTTTTGTTCCCATGTAAATTACTAGAAATGTTTTGTTCATGATTTTTTATTTTTTATTTTTTCATTTTTATCATTTTAATGACAATAGGAGGAGGAAGAGAAGGAAGAAGAAGAACTAGCCAGGAAAAAAAAAAAAAAATCTGCTTGAATTGAAGATGATGTGGCTTTGAAAGAGATGCTCATTTCAACTGCGAGAGACAGAAGAAAGAGCACCGGAAAAACAAGAACAGCTTTGTGAACTTAGTCGTGCATTAGATGTTTTGGCATCTGCTTCTGTAATAACTAAATTTTTTACTTTTGAGTTTCTTGAGTACTTATACTGACATTTCATATTTATTCCCTGATTTCCGTTTCATTTTAATTTATTCTGCAGTGTGTAAGCAGGCAGCACGAAGAATTCTTGAGGCTTGTCAGTACAGAGGTAACTATTCAGTATTCACCTGAGAATAATCTGTGCATTAATGTGAATAGGCTGAGAAGGATGGGTACTTAGACTTTGTAGAATACTTTTGTGAAACTCTCAATCAATACCGTTCTCTCGTATAGTTTGTCACTTGTTGACTCAAAAATGGTTGAAATATCTTTCTTGAGCTTACAATTGTCAAGGTAAGATTCATCTTCCTGCCAATTCCCACTAACGTTAAGAAAAGAAAAAAACATGCCTAGTTGCTACAAGAAAAATATATATATTCAACGATAAATAATCTTCATTCATATAATTATCTATTTGTTCTATATATATCGTTCACAATACTCAGTAATTATATTAATACTCGATCGAGAATCAGGGACTGTCCGGGAGGTCGATCCAATAGTTCGCCGATCCACAACGCTTTGCCTCGGGACAAAGCAATAGCGGAGTTGTGCTCCTATCACCCAAATCATACACATACACAAACCGACCCTCGTCATTCGCATAGTATATGCAATTGGGCTTGCTTCCTCCTCCAGAGCCCGACCAACGACAAAACCCATTTCCACACGAGCTAACAAAAATCGTCATCCAATCTATTCGGTCGAGCCCCACGCACTCCCTCCTCTCCACATCTACTCGGAAAACCCTAAACACCACGCCATTCTCATGATTTTCGGATAAGAACATCTTCACAACCAGGAAAAATAGCTTGCCCGTGCCACCTGGCAACTCGATCAGGTAGCTCGGGCGCACGCCCACGGCCCATCCCGGCTGCGGTCGGGGCAGTAACCAAAGGCACCCATCATCCGACATTAACCTCATGAGCTCGAGTCCTTCCCCGTCGACTAGATGAACAGTCACGAGCTCGTAGCCGAGCCGCGAGTAGATGACGCCGTAAATTTGTCCGTGGAGGGCTGCGCCTATTGCCATGATCAAGTAGTGCTTCGGGAGGTCAATTAGGGACAGCTCGGCAAAGTTGTGGGATCCGATTGCGCACGCGGACAGGTTGAAGCCGCACGAGTGGATGAAAGCGGCGACGCAGCCCGGCTCGGTCGGGGGTTTCGAGAGGACGCATCTGTCGTAGAGGAACGATTCGTGGAGTAGGGGGAGGGGGATTTTCTTGGCGAGCTCCGGGTTCCAGAGGTGGCAGTCGTCGGTGAGCGGGTCGGCCATGGTCAGCCAGCCGTGGTTGGAGCCGAGCACGCGCCTGCCGGAGAAATTGGAGATGGAGGCGGTGCAGGACCAGTTGCCCGAGAGGCTGTAGAATGATTGCGTGTCGTGGGCTTTGGTGTGCGAGGTCATGAGAAGGGGAAGTTGAGTGTTTCTCTTCGTCTTCTCCATAACGAATACTTGAATTTTGGGGATTTTTTCTTAGGGTTGACAAGAACTTGAGGTGTGTTTTATAGTTTTATCAATTCGGTATATAGGGAGATGGGTCGAACGAAGTTTAAGGAGTTAATAAACAATTTAAGGCCCACTACAAGAGAAGA